TTGGCGAGGAGGAAGCCAACCTGAACTTTGCGGGCACAGGGCCATTCGAAGTCATGCAATGGGTGCCCGATGAGGTGCTCCAGGCGGAAGCTCTCCCTTCCCATTACAGGGAGGCGGCCAAGGTAGAGAGTTTGGAGGTCGGGTAATCCCGGAAACGGCCAGCCAGATTGCCGCCCTCGAGGCCGGTGAGGTCCACATGGCTCCGATTCCCAACCAGTTCCTCAATGATGTCCTGGGGAACATAGGCGGTGTGAAGACCAGGGTCGGCCTGGGAAACAGCGTCTTTGTGGCCTTTGGGGGAAACTACTGGGCTGAGGTTGCGAGAGCATCCGGCGATACGGTATTCCCACGAGAGGGATTCAAGCCGGACGACGAGCATCCGTGGATTGGCGACCCAAGAGACGACGCCCGCATGGAGAGTGCCCGCAAGGTGCGCCAGGCCCTGGCAATGGCTATAGACCGCGACCTGATAAGCGAAGCCATAGAACAGTCTCTCGCTCCGACCCACTACACCTTCATCGGTTTCACGGAAGACGAGCCACAATGGATGGACAGCTGGCGTATTCCGTTCGACCCGGACATGTCGAAGCAGCTGCTGGATGAAGCGGGATACCCGGACGGGATCAGCACTGACTTCTGGACCACCCCCGGCGGCGCATCTCAGGAGATAGCCGAGGCTATCGCACAGATGTGGGGTGACATAGGCGTCGATGTGCAGATGGAGGTTACGGCCTATGGGGCCAGGCGACCGACTCTGATCAACCGGAACATATCGATCCCGTACATGTCAGGAAACGCGGTCGGTGACCATACGGACCCCCAGGGTCGGCTGATCAGCCCGGAGCTGGGCGGGGCAAACCGTGGTATTGAGCTTCCAAATGATGTCCTGGACGAGTTCTACTATCCCAGCCTTTCGGAACCCAGCGAAGAGAAGCGCATTGCCAACAACGTCGCTATTCAGGACTACCTCTCCAGTTGGATGTTGAACTCGCCTCTGGTACTGCGACTGAACTACATCGCCGTCAGCCCGGATGTTGAGGAGTGGACTCCTTATACGGACACGTTTGGAGTAATAAACTCGCCTGAAACCGTTGTACTGAAGTGAAGCGGCCACCGCGGGGGTGACAGCTTCAGACGAGACCTTTACATAACTTCGTCATTCCGGCGAAATCCGGAATCCAAAGGGGTGTGGATGGCGCACACGAGCTTGCGATCAAGCCCTTTTCACCCTCACCCCAACCCTCTCCCTGTGGGAGAGGGGGTTGAGCAAAGGCTTCATAAGACTCCCTCGCGTGACCGTCGGTCAGTGCTGTTTCGGCGCGACCGACAACGGAGTTCGAGAATTCGAAGGACTTAGTTAAGGCAGAGGCCGATTGTCCACGCTCGACTAACGTAGGTCGGGTGAGGAACGCGGCCCTACCGACCTCATGCTACGTTTCATAGTATTTCGGCTCTTCTACATTGCCATAGTCATGGTGGTGGTCAGCATGCTGATCTTTGGGCTATCCCGACTCGTGGGAGACCCAAGGAACTACTACCTCGATGAGTACGCTACTCAGGAGCAGTACGAAGCGTGGGGCAAAGCAATGGGCCTGGACAAGCCTCTCTTGTCCAGTATGTCATCTGGGCCTCCAAGGCCGTCAGGGGCGAATTCGGACAATCTCTTCGCCACCGTCGAGAGGCTCTCGATGTGGTAGTGGAGACCGTTCCCGCCACTTTGCAGCTAACTGGAGTCGGCTTCCTCGTCGTCATCGTTATCGGCATTCCGCTGGGAGTGCTGTCCGCGGTAAAGCGAGGCACCTACCTTGACTATGCGGGCAGGACATTCGCCCTCTTTAGTCAGGCTCTTCCGGCGTTCTGGATAGGCATCATGATGATACTGCTCTTTGCCGTAACGCTTGACTGGCTTCCGACTGGAGGGAGAGGGGACTGGAAGCACTACATACTACCGGCTATCAGTCTGGGTTCGGGACCTTCAGCAGGACTATTGCGGCTGGTACGATCCTCAATGCTCTCCGTCCTGGACTCCGAGTACATCAAGCTCGCACGTGCCAAGGGGGTGACCGGAAGGATGATCATCTGGAAGCACGCCTTCAAGAACGCAATGATTCCTCCACTGACATTTGCCGGTCTCATCCTGGCCGGATTTGTCACGGGAACGGTAGTGAATGAGACCGTATTCTCATGGCCGGGCCTTGGGCGCTTAGCCGTGCAGTCAATCTTCAATAACGACTTTCCAATCATGAGCGCGGTGGTATTACTGGGGTCTGGAGTGTACGTAGTTCTCAATCTCCTGACCGACCTCGCATACGCGTTCATTGATCCCCGCATTCGCTTCGGTTAGATAGACATGGTCCGACTTCGAGCACCATATATGAGCGATCTCCCATCTTCCGATGGTCCGATAGTTACCAGAGCTTATCGCTTCGTCCGGAGATGGCCCATCATTCCCGTAGCCATCGTTGTCCTGCTCGTTCTCTGTGCAGCGTTCGCCGGTCTCTTAGCCCCACACGACCCTGAGAGGGGCAACCTGCGAGAGCGAAACGTGCCTCCCTTATGGTCGACAGAGGGAGATACCAACCACATTCTCGGCACAGACCCTCAGGGGAGAGACATCTTTAGTCGCATAATTTTCGGGGCCAGAATCTCCCTGATTATTGCCGCCGTGGTCCCTATGCTCTGGGGGTATCGGCGGCACAATACTTGGACTCGTCGCAGGCTACACAGGGGGATTCGTGGACGAGTTAATCATGCGCTTTGTAGACATCACCCTAGCCGTGCCATTCATTCTGGTCGCTATGGTGGTAGTCATAGTGGCCGGTCAAAGCCTAACTGTCATCATCCTACTTCTGATTGCCTTCAGCTGGAACGCTTTCGCCAGACAGGTGCGAGCGGAGACCCTTCAACTGAAGACCGCAGACTATGTGGCCCTGGCAACCGTTGCCGGAGCATCGACCTGGAGAATCATGTACCGGCACATTCTTCCAGGTGTGACAAGCACGCTCCTGGTAATTGCCACGCTGCGTGTAGGTCAACTCATCCTGACAGAGTCTATTTTGAGCTTCCTCGGAGTAGGAATTCCGCCGCCCACTCCTGCCTGGGGAGTGATGATAGCCGACGGCAGGTCGTATCTGGCCACAGCCTGGTGGGTTGCTTTCTTCCCGGCATGGCCATATTCCTGACGGTGCTCGCATTCAACTTCCTTGGAGACTGGCTGCGAGACTGGTTTGACCCGCGGCTGAGGCAGATATAGACCGTCCGAACCGCAAGTAGCGCACTCTCGGACTGGCGGGCTATTTCACCGACCCAAGATGGGATAGCCTTCCAGGTAGTCCATCTGCACCAACTCGACATTCGGGGCCTGTCGGGAGAGCTCCCGCTCTATGGGTTCCATGTCTGTCGGACTGGTCACCGGTGGGTTCCAGTCGTCGTGATGGCCGAGCACAATCCGCTTGGGACGCAGCAGGTCTGCCTCTCGGGCGACGAATTGGGCAAGTGTACCCTGGATGGGCTCTCCGTCTATGTTGCCCCGGCCGGCCGCGGCGAGCAGAGCCAGGTCAGGCCGAAGGTCTCGCAAAATCCCGGTCCAATGCCCGGACGTGTCTTTCCAAAGTATGCTGCCCAGTGGCGTCTCGATAAAGTATGCCAGCGCGCCGCCTTCGCCACGCGGTTGCTGAGCGCACTCCATCTGTGGGCTTCGGCCTCCGCCATCCCGGGCACGCTGGATGAGGAGCGAAGGGCTGCCTGTTTGTCGAGGTTCACGTGCCGTTCGTCCAGCGTTAAGCCCAGGTCTCCCAGGCAGACCTGTCCCGAAGTTCCTGTGATGCTCCATATGCATGAGTGCTGACTGGGAAACACCCGAACAGATACGCTGTCGGACAGCCTGACCCGTTCCCCGCCCGCGACGGCAACTAACTGGCGATTGGGCACTCCTTCTATTTCCATCAGTCTTACCGACTCGTGGGAGCCTATTATGGTTCCGCCCGTTTGAAGGGCGATACGCTCGGCCCCCCAAAGGTGGTCGAAGTGGGAGTGTCCCACCAGCACATAGTCGGCCCTTTGCACATCTGATACTGTCATGCCGACCGGCGTCGCCAGCGGGTTCCGGTCGATGTAGGCATCAAGGAAAATGACCAGATCATCGACGACCAACCTATAGGTGGATACACCCAACCAGTCCAGCGATACGGTCATACTGTTCCTCCGAGTTCGGCAATGGGATAATGAAGTCAATCACGTTGCGGGAAACTTCAAAACAAGTATGGACCATCATAATGTAATCGAGGTTCATCATGAACAGGGTCGAGAGGGCTGCTTAAGGGACATATATGCCGCTTCTTCCAAGAGTGAACAACTCCTACATGATCTGCGCCACTGGCTGATCGTCATGATCGTATTCGGAATCACGGGGTTCAGTGCGCTCGTATTCAGCCGGCTACTGTTCAACGTGATTCTCGGCATGGAGGGCAGCCTGTGGTCAGGTCCCTGGTCCTACCGGGTCCTTTACCTGTCGGTGATCCCACCATTCAATTCGGCCATGTGGTGCTGGTGGGCTCCATCTTTCGGAAAGCGGGAATATTTTATGTCGAGGGTCCTGCGGATGTGGGGTCGCCTGGTTCCGGGCAGAACTCGCAGGTGGCTTGCGCTGACCTTTTGCAAAGTTCGAGGTCGTCCCAACTCCGCCAACCATCCCCACGTCCCGTAATGGAGGCCGCACGGCAGTCGGGGTCTTCCGAACTGCGTGGGCAAATCGAAAGCACTGCCCCAGCTTTCGGTCAATAAGTGGGCAAGTACATCACGAGAGCGGCGGCCGGGCAACAGCGATTCGCGTGTCGACAGAAGAAACCGAGGGGCGAGAATTGCTCGAAGGCCAAATAAGTTGGGAGTTGGCATCCCGAGCACAGGATCACTCACCCTTCGGCAGGAACTAGGGTATGACTCCGGTTTCTCGGAGCAGCGCGTCCGTACCCTGGAGGTCGGACAGCGAGCTGAGGTCTATGTCAGGGCCGTTGAGGGTATCGATTGGGGGCAGCAGCCGGTGCCTTCACTCCCTCCACGAGGGGATACTCGAAACGCTGCCCGGCGAAGTACTGCTGGGCTACCTTCGAGAGCATGAATCGCATGAACGTTTCAGCGTTGTCGCGGTTCTCACTGGTGCCGAGGATGCCGGCTCCGGCAACCATTACCAGGCTGTCCGGCCCACCGTTCTTCAGGAACAGGTTGCGTGCGGCGAAGTCGTCGCCCGTTCCTGATGAACCTGTGCAGGTAGTAGTGATTCACCAGCCCCACCGCGACTTCACCTGCGCCCGCGGCTGCAACGATCGGCGTGTTTTTCGGGAACACGCCCGGCTCGTTCTTCAGCATGTCGAGCAGCCACTGTCGAGTTTCTTCTTCTCCCCACATCAATCGCATGGCGGTTACCATCGTGCGGAACGAGGCATTGCTTGGAGGCCAGCCGATGCGTCCCTTCCACTTGGGATCGGTCAGGTCCTTCACCGAAGTGGGAAGCTCGTCTTCACTGACGAGTTCCGTGCTGTACACGATCACCCGGGCCCTGCCGGAAATTCCCACCCAGGAGCCGTCTGGAGACCTGGCCCATGCGGGCGCTTTCAATACGACATCAGCCGGGAGGGGGGACAGCATGGAGGAAACAGCCCCCAGCCGCCCGGGTCCTGCGCGAAGAAGACATCGGCGGGCGAGTTGGAGCCTTCCTCCAGAAGGGTGGCAGCCATCGCAAAAGTGCTGCCGTACTTCACCTGGACGTCTATGCCGGTAGCCTCTGCGAACTGCTCGATGATGGGCGCTACGAGAGACTCGCTGCGCCCTGAATAGACTACCAGCCTTCCAGGCTCTTCTTTCATGCTCGATGATGAGGCAACCATGACGGCCTCCGCCGCGAGCTTGGCTGCGCTGCTTGCCTCCGCCGCGGCGTCAGCAGCAACCATCGCCGCGGTCGCAGCGTCCTTGGCCGCGAACTTGGCCTCTTCAACTGCAGTTGTCGCCGCGCTGTCTCTGGCATGCATGCTCGCCGTTCGTCCGCAGACGGCATCTTGCCGTCGACCTGAGCGGCGGTCGCAGCACTCTGGGCTGCCTGATTCGCCTGGTTCACAGCGGATGTTACGCTGTCGTCTGTGCCGGACGATTGGCAGGCTGCCAGGGCCATAGTGACTATTGCCAGAATTACGATTGCCTAAGGGATCTGAACACCCGCAAGGGGAGTGCGGGACTACTATGCATAGACATTGAATTAGCCCTCCTGATATGCTGCATATGTCCACATACACATACACGCTTAGGAAGAACTATACGTAAAATAATATTGTAAACCTAAGCGGTAATATCCATGTGCACTTATCTCATTGATAAGGCGATCCATTTGGGCAAAGATCA